TCTTCTGGCCTGTAAACATATACACAGACAAAATATTGTATACATAATAAATAAATAAATAAATATAAAAAATAAATAAAGGGGGGAGGGGGACTTCCGTTGGGATATATGATATGAGAGGATAAATGAATAATTTTTTTAAAGTTAAAAAAAATGCTGGGCAGTGGTGGTGCACGCCTTTAATCCCAGCACTTGGGAAGCAGAGGTGGGCAGAGCTCATGAGTTCGAGGCCAGCCTGGTCTACAGAGCAAGTTCCAGAACAGTCAGAGCTGTTACACAGAGAAACCCTGTCTCAAAAAACCAATAAAGTTTTTTTTAAAAATCCAACTAGAAATTCCTTGCTTTTGCTGAATGCTAAGGTAAGTGTAATTAAGAAGTCAAGAAGAACAGGAAACAAAAGTGACTAAGGAGCTGAAAAGTAAAACATTCCAAACTTTCATGAAAGATCAGAAAGCATTCGAGTTCTAACATCAAAACGTAAAACAGAAACACTCACAGCAGAACCCAACATGATAAAGTCTTAGACAGATTAGCCCTGAAGCAAAGAACACTGTAACTTTATAACTAAACAAAAAGCTTATAGGATCAGGATGGTAAATTAAAACCTTTACTAACAGGAGAAGAGACCAACAGTCTTTAAAGGAAGAAAAACAAAGTCTACAACTACCAAAGCTGCTTTCTGTCTTGTCATGTAATTGATGCACTGAGCTACCCTTTGATTTGATCAGCAAGAAAACCACTACCAGGTACGGCCTCTGGGGCTGGTTAGGGTTTTTGTTTAGTTTTTGTCAACATAAGTTAGGGTCTATGGGAGGAGGAAACTTCAGTTGAGACAATGCCTACATCAGATGGCTTTAACTGAGGTTTGATGTGGAAGGGCCCAGCCCACTGTGGGTGGTGCCACCCTTGGGCAGCTGGACAAGATAGCACACTGAGCAAGCCATGTGGAGCAAGTCAGTAAGCAGCATTCCTCTATGGGCTCTGCTTCAGCTCCTCAGTGATGGAGTGGAACCTGAGAGTTGTAAGATCGAATCAAACCTTTTCCTCCCCATGGTGCTTTTGATTCAAGTGTTTGATCACAGCACCAGAAACCCTAACTTAAGACATAGTTGAACCTCACACCTCCAGAATAAGGGGTTTAAACAAATATCTTTTCTTTATGCTGTTAAAAAAGAAATGGAATAGCAGGTGGACATTAAAAGTCTTTATATGGGACAGGAGAGATGGTTCAGGGATTAACAGCACTGGTTGCTCCTGCAGAGGACACAGGTCTAATTCCCAGCACCTACAAGGTGGTTCACAACCGTCCGTAACTTCAGTTCCAGGGGATCCAATGCCATCTTCTGACCTCCTTGGGCACCAAGCATGCATGTGGTACACACACACAAATATACATGCAGGCAAAATATCATAAATTAAAATGAATAAATTTAACAAAAATTTTAAATTTTAATAACAAGTCTTATAAATAACCTAATATGTGAAAGGATTTAAAGATAAACAAGAATATTATAAGGAAAAGAGAAGCATTTTTTTTTTTTTTGATTTTTCGAGACAGGGTTTCTCCTTAGCTTTTTGGTTCCTGTCCTGGAACTAACTCTTGTAGACCAAGCTGGCCTCGAACTCACAGAGATCCGCCTGCCTCTGCCTCCCGAGTGCTGGGATTAAAGGCGTGCGCCACCACCGCCCGGCTTAAAGGGAAGCATTTTTAAAAATTATTTTTTTCTGTGTGTACACATGTGTGGGCATGCACTTGCCATGGTTCACATGAAAAGGTCAGAGGACAACTTGTGGGAGCCAGTTATCTCCTCCACATCAGTCCTAGGACCCAAACTCAGGTCATCAGGCTTGGTGGCACGCACCTTTACCCACTAAGCCATTTAACAGCCCAACTTTGTTTTTAATTTTTAAAGACTTGATTTATGTAAATTCAAATTACATAAAATAAAATTTCTAAATGTATGATTAGAAGCAATTAAACATTGACTAATAAAAGATGGTTTGGAGGAAGCCACAGAAAACAACTGGAGCATAAAAAGGAGAAAAACAAACAAAAGACTGGCAGGGAAGAAGGAACTGAAGCAGTGAACTCAAAATAAAGCACACAATCTAGGAACCGTTTCAATGGTGCCCGGGAAAGACAGGGCAGGGAACAGAGACATATGGCCCCAAACTGTTCAGATTTCATGAGAATTATGATTCCTTAAGCCCAAGAAACTTAGCAACCCTCAGGCAGGGAAAACACAGACAAAACCACACCAAGGCATGTTACTGTACAGTCAGTCACTAGAGACAAAGATATCAAAACAAAAGTTCATACAATATAGAGAACAACAAAGACAAGAATAAGCCAGAAGAGAAAGTCTGGAATTAGCTATCGGGAACAAAATTCTACAAAAAGAAAATAACATGCAAAGTACACTTGATCATAAACAGAATGCTGAGAAATGACTTTTTTTTTAAAGAAAAGATAATTGATAATAAAAATAAAAACAAAGTCAGTCAGGAATCATGGTATACACCTATAATCCCAGCAAGTTGGAATGCTGAGTCAGAAGGATTATTTTAAGCTCCAAGCCAACATGGGCTATACAGCAATACTTTGTCTCAAGAAAGAAAAAGATAGGCGGTAGTGGCGCACGCCTTTAAGCCCAGCACTTGGAAGGCAGAGGCAGGCGGATCTCTGAGTTTTGAGGTCAGCCTGGTCTACAGAGTGAGTTCCTGGACAGCCAGGGTACACAGTGAAACCCTGTCTCAAAAAAGCAAAAACAAAAACAAAAAGAAGAAAAAGAAAGAAAATAATAACAATAATAATAATAACAAGTCAGGTTTGGTGGCACAAACCTGTAATCCCAGTACTTGAATGAGCAGGAGGATTAGAAGTTTGAGGTTATCCCAAACTACTTAGCAAAGTGGAGACCAGCCTGGACTTTATGAGATCTTGTCTCAAAACAAACAAAAATGAAAACAATTTTTCAGTTTATCCATATTTCAACTATCAATTTCTTGCTGTAAATTATGAGCCAGTATTTGAATATAACTAGAAATCAGTGGGCAACTTACCTGTGGAAACCATCTTTCAAGAATTCTTGCCTCAAAATGATTTCAGAACAAGTGGCCCTTATACCTATAAAGATCAAGACATTAAAAATGAAAATAAGCATATTAAAAGAACTATTAAATAATTAGAAAATAACTACTAGAAAAAGCTTCACTTGTTAGAAAAATCTAATCATCTAACGGAAAGATAAAAATTTTAAATGTAAGCAGTTTGAGCTCCACATAAATCTATTACATATAAACCTATCATGGAGGTTGAGAATGTCTGGTTTCAGATCCTAGTCCACCACTTAACAGCTGTGTCTTTGAGTGAGAGTTCTTCTCTGAGGTTGTCCATCCTCCTAGCTCACCAAACCTCATCAGAGACATAACAGCACCCTCTGTATTCCCTGGTCCATGCCTACACATCTTGGAAGATTGGACACTCATTCTTTGTGAAGATGTTCGGAGAGTTAAAGGGGGGAAAAAAAAGGCAAGAAAAGGAGAGGCCCCTGAAGATTCAAAGAGTTCATTTACAAACGCGGGGTAAACAGAAGTCTTCATAAACTGATTCCATGCATATTTTGGATATTAAAACTATTACTCAATGGGTAAAAATTCAAGACTGGTGAGACCCTGTGTCAAAAATAAAAAAATAACAAAAAGCAAAAAGGAAAAAAGACATTAAATATTCAGTTGTCAGATCCCTTGCTATAAAACTTTGAGAAGAAATGTGTGGGAAGGACAGTAAGGGAGTGTGAATCACTGCAATAAACCTGTTCCACAGGAACTTGAAGAAAGCACGTGAAGCCAGGAGAGTAAGACTTGGAAGATTCTTTTTTTGTTTGTTTGTTTGTTTTTTGTTTTTCGAGACAGGGTTTCTCTGTGGCTTTGGAGCCTGTCCTGGAACTAGCTCTGTAGACCAGGCTGGTCTCGAACTCTCAGAGATCCGCCTGCCTCTGCCTCCCGAGTGCTGGGATTAAAGGCGTGCGCTACCATCGCCCGGCTGACTTGGAAGATTCTTGAGGGTCCCTACCAACCCTATGAAAGGGAGTCAAGAGTTGCTGGGGACAAACCGCAGAAAGAGATAGGGGGAAAACCAGACGCTGGGGCTGTGGAGCTGCCTACAAGCTGCTTAGCGAGCTCCAGGGTTGCAGTTTCGGGGTGGGGGCGTCACCCATGTTGGGGTGGGCTTTCTAGTGAAGCAGCTTCTTTTGCGTTATCCCTGCTCCTTGTAACTCCTCGCCCACATTTCCACTGGTAACGCCAATAAAAAATTCATTGGTCCATCAAATTGGATACTGGTACAAAGGTTACCTTTCTGGATGAATGTGCTCTCTCTCTCTCTCTCTCTCTCTCTCTCTCTCTCTCTCTCTCTCTCTCTCTCTCTCTCTCTCTCTCTCTCGTGTGTGTGTGTGTGTGTGTGTTGTATCTCCAGAGAAGTCTGTCACGCATCACACTACCTCACCCCTTCTCCTTTACATACAGTTTGGGCATTCATTCTCACACTTCCCGGGACTCGAAGGGTTCCCTGGCCTCTCAGCCTGCAGAAAGCAGCTTCGGGGGTACCAAAGCATCCCAACACGCTTCGTGGCTGGACTTGTTTAGTACTTTTGCTACAGTGTGGTCAGTCCGCCTCGGAAGGACAAAGCCCGGCTCCGATGTCCAGGATGGAACACCGCGCAAAGATCACGGGGAGGGCAGGGGCGCACGCGGCCTTTGTTGCTAACCTCCTCCCGGCCCTGGTACCCGTAACACCGCGGGTGCTCCCCACCCGCGCCCACGCCCCGGGCCCTTACCCGAGCTGAAGGGGGCGTCGCTGATGTCAGCGGCGAGCCTGCCGACCAGCCCAGCCGCCCAGAGGAGCAGCCAGGCCACAGCGTCGGCAGCCAGGACGCCGGAGCGGAGAGCCGACGCCCGAGAGGGGCGCGCGGGAAGAGCTGCGGTCGCGGAGGCAGGCTGTACTCCCACCGGCCCCGGTGACTGGGACGGAGCGCTCCGTGCGCAAACGTCCTTGAACCCACCGAGCGCTCCCACGGGGCTGCTCAGAATCCCTGGAACTCTACCCCTGTAACTCTAAGTTCCCGAGAGGACCGCATTTGACTCCGCCCCTTGCCGTCCCAGCCGGGGCGGGGCGAGAAGCTGCGCAAGCGCTGTCTTCGTGCCCGCGCTGTTGCCTTGGAAACCATCCTAAGGGGGCGCCCGACCGGCCTCTAGACCAAGTACGGTCTCTGGATCACACTTGCAGAGCTCTGGCCGGCTTCCTGTCCACAGCCGGGTCAGTGTGGGCTAGGCCTCCTGCCTCTGAGCTCACCCCATGGTTACCCACGTAGGGTATGGCTGTCGCTTCTTCCTGCAGCGCCAAGTTCCGCTCCACCTCAAAGTCGATATAATGAGTCCTCTGTGCAATGCGGTTGGATGGAAACGACCCTCTCACTGCTGTTCAGATGTGCACTTCCTGTACTTCTTCAAGGGTAAGAAGGGTCGCCTTGCACTAGTGAGGACATCAGGAGGAAATCCGTACCCTCTTAGGTGCTGTGAGGGGCAGTCGTTGATCCTGGGAAGAAAAGTACACATGCGGCCAAGGACAGTTAGGGAAACAAGCTGTCACTCCTCCCAATTCTGGGACGCATTAGCGGTTTTGGAGAGTGCTAGTGCTGACCAGGCATGAGATCTCGGGGTGGGAACGGGTGTAATATAACACTACAAGCCTGCAGTTAAGAAATAGGGACAGCCAGGTTAGTCCCAGCTCCTGGGAGGCAGAGGCAGGCGGGTTTCTGTGAATTAAGGCCAGCCTGGTCTACAAGAGCTAGTTTCCAGGACAGCTAGGGCTAGACAGAGAAATCCTGTCCCTAAAAATAAATTCAAAAAGGAAAACTCTATAGCGAACGCCCTACATTATCGTCAGTTGTATTGACAAGTGTGGTCATCTGTTATAATGTGTTTAGTAGTCGTTTTAGGAAGTACACTAACATCATACTTTAATGAGGTGACCTGGGAGTAGTGCCTAGCCACTGGCTCAGATCAAAGGCAGGGCACAGCAGTCTGAAAAGCAGCTTTTTATTATGCCTACTCTCAGAGGAATACAAATTCTCACCTCTAACAGCAGAGGTAAGACTAGGTCCTGTATGACAAGTCTACTTGGCAAGCATAAAACATAAAGATGGAAGTTAGGTGAATATTTCATGTTTACTTTCTTTCTTTTGTCCCTATTTTTCTGTAATGAACCAGTACAAATACTGTCAACTTCTTAAATAATGTGCCTGTAATTGTTCTCCAGCAGAACTAAGTTACAGCTCCTGGGCCTTGAGCGGCTCCATTCCTGCAATGGCTGATCTTACTGCTGTTGGACCAGGGTACAAGAGCCCTAAGCCCTCCAGGCCTGGAAGCCCCCCTGAAACTCTTCGGCACCTAGGCCTCATAACTACTATTTCTGCTTCAGTTGCTTTCTTAGGGTTTCTATTGCTGTGAAGAAACACCATGACCACAGCAACTCTTTTTATTTTATTTTATTTTATTTTATTGGATTTTCGAGACAGGGTTTCTCTGTAGCTTTTTGTTCCTGTGCTGGAACTAGCTCTTGTAGACCAGGCTGGCCTCGAACTCACAGAGATCCGCCTGCCTCTGTGCTTTAATCCTGAGTGCTGGGATTAAAGGCGTGCGCCACCACCGCCCGGCTGACCACAGCAACTCTTATAAAGAAAACATTTAATTAGGCTTACAGTTATCGTCACGATAAGACATGGTGGTGTGCAGGCAGATGTGGTTCTGAAGAAGGAGCTGAGAGTCCTACATCTTGATCCTCAGATAGGAGGAAGAGATCTGTGACACCTCCTCCAGCAAGGCCACACCTCCTCCAACAAGGCCACACCTCCTCCAGCAAGACCACAACTCCTCCAGCAAGGCCACACTTCCTAAGAGTGCCACTCCCGATAGGGGCCATTTTTATTCAGACCACCACAGGTACTCTTGGAACCTTCAGTTACCTTCGTGGGGCTGTGACTGCTGCTACCAGGATGGAGGCTGCTCCCAGTGTGCCAGTTTTACCATGTCTTCTTGGGGTTGAGAGCTCAGTCTGGTCTGCTAGTTCTAAAGATCAAAAGCGGGAAAGAAAAGACCGAGGCCCGTTTGCAAAGCCTTTGAATGAGCCTAATGTTGTAACATGGAGCACTTGGAGCAGAACGAAGAGGGTGTATCGCAGGTGACTCCAGAAGTGAGCGGCCAGATGGGTGCTAGGCAAGGATGCTTGCACCGAGGATGTTTACACAGTCCTTCATGCAAGTGGATGTCGTGATCTGCATCCCAGAGCGGCTGCTGAGCCATCGGGATCACTGCACACTGGCACTGTGAACCTAGGGTTACTAATGCTCAGTGAGGCTGTGCCCAGCGTGTGCCTTCCAAGGCCTGTGCCTGCCTGCTGGAGAACTCACTTTGGCTGTGGTTCTCTGGCATCCTCAGAGAAACAGGAAGGAAGGAAGGAAGGAAGGAAGGAAGGAAGGAAGGAAGGAAGGAAGGAAGGAAGGAAGGAAGGAAGGAAGGAAGGAAGGAAGGAAGGAAAGAAAGAAAGCTGGGTCTGCCCAGTGAAGGGGCTGCTGACAGGTCCCCGCTCCAGGCCCTCGGTGTAAGAGAAGGACCTGTGAAGCCACTGCCCTACATGGTCTGAATCATTCACAGAAAGAAGCCACACAGAGCTAACAATCTGAGTAACAGTTAACAGTGCTTAATATTATTTCACAATGTGTAACAGCGCTCAGCTCCTGCCCCAGGATAATATATAGAAACCTTTGTTTATATGAATGCATAGCATTAAATAAGTATTACCCTTCTTGTGTTGCAGATATGTGCTAAGAGCTAAATGAAAATGGACACACTCTTGCCTCCCTAGAACAAGGAGACTAACAGGGACCATAGATGGTAAGTAATGGTTTTTAAAATAACCTTTTTTGTTGTTGTTGTTTTTTCAAGACAGGGTTTCTCTACCTAGCTGTCCTGGAACTCGCTCTGCAGACCAAGCTGGGCTTGAACTCACAGAGATCTGCCTGCCTCTGCTACCCGAGTGCTGGGATTAAAGGTGTGCACCACCATCTCCCGACTGCTTAAAATAACCTCTTGATGAATAAAAGAGTTCATAAAGTACAGGGTGGGGTAGATCTGGTCTAGTGAACATCTCCGTATAAAATGTTTATTTAAAAGAAAACGTAAAAAAATAAAATAAAATAAAATAAAAAATAAAAATAAAAAAAAACATGCTGGGGAGGTAGCGTAGCTGGCAGAGTGCTTGTCTGGTATGCACGAAACCCTGGGTTCCATTTGCAGCACCCCATAGACCAAGCCTGAAGGCACATGCCTGTAATTCTAACACTGGGGGAATAGAGACAGGAGTATCACAAGTTCAAAGCCAGTCTGGGCTATATGAGAATCTGACTCAAAAACAGAAAAAGTTTAAAGACCATAATAATATTGATAGAGGGTGATTCAGGCATCCTTTAAATGAAAAATCAAAATGCTTCTGTAGGCTAGTCGGTCACCTGTTGGGCTTGCTTGAGGTTCCTGTGTAACCTCTGGTAGAATGCTGTACACTAAGGGGCCAGACCGAAGAGCATTACCTAGCTCATGTGGGAAGGACCTGCATCCCAAACAAGCAGAGATCCAACAAACGAGGCTAGCCTTGGCCAGCTGAACTTTCAAGGTGGCCCTCAAAGTCTTGAACTTTGTTAGCTGAGTGTGTAGTTCCAGGGCTGAGACTTCAGTCAGATCCGCTGAGGAGAAGGAGAAAGCAGATTTATGCAATATCGACCTCAATTTGGGTTTTCTTTTTCTGAAACTTGTTCCACAGCTATCCCGTCTTTCTCAGAGTTCCTCCAGTTCACACTGAATTGTATGTCAACATGAAATGTGTTGCCAAGAAATGTGGAATTAGATTCCAGCCCCCGGCTATCGTCTTAATTTACGACAATGAGACCGAGGGAAAGAGCCGCCAGCGCATTATGCCAGTCCGAAACTTCTCGAAGTTCTCAGGTACTCCTAGTTTATCCCGCCTCTTATCTTGTTTAACTTATGTATAAGTGTCTCTGTGAGTGTTCGCCATGCATGTGGGTGTCTATGGAGCCTGGAAGGAAACTAGAGTTACGAGCCTGTGAGTTGCTAAACTTGGGAACCCTGCAAGAACAGCAGGCACACCTAACCTTGGACAAGCTCTCCAGCTCTTGCCTCCTGTGATGAAGGTCATTGAGCAATAAAGAAACTGCTTGGCTGGCCCTGATAGGTTAAAGCATAGGTGGGAGGAGTAAACAGAATAGAATTCTGGGAAGAAGAGGAAGTGAGGTCAGACTCTGCCCTGCTCCTGGAGAGACCCGACAGCTCTGCTCTTTGGAGCAGAGATGCCAAGCTCTGCTCTCCCAGGCAGCTCTGACCCAGGATGGACATAGGCTAGAATCTTCCCGGTAAGCGCACCTTGGGGTGCTTACACACATCATTAGAAATGGGCTAGTCCAGGTGCGAGAATTAGACTGTAAGGGCTAGAGTTCATGGGCCAAGCAGTGTTTAAATGAATACAGTTTGTGTGTTGTTATTTCGGGCATGAGCTAGCAGTCGGCCGGGGTGCTGGGGATGCAGCCCCGCCGCTCTTATTTCAAAACTCCTGTCTTAATAAAAATAGCCTGACATAATCAGGTCTGGTGGCATATACCCATAATCCAAGTACTTTAGGAGGCCGAGGCAGGAAAATTGCAAATTCAAGCCTGGATAGCTTGAGATAACCAAAATTTGAAACAAAACTCGATGGGTTGGGAAGGGAATGTAGGTCAGTGGTAGAGCACTTACCTAACATGTAGGGAGTCCTGGATGCAGTCCCCACTGAGAGGGAGAACCGAGGGAGTGAGGAGGCAGAGAGAGACAGAGAGGGGGAGGTTTTAGTTTCAATGGAATGAGAGGTTCTTCAGAGTTAAACTTAGGTTTAAATCATGATTATCAGGGACTAGATTGTCATTCATAAACTTCAGCTTTTGTACTGGTATTTTATGTCAGCTTGACACAGGTTAGAGTCATTTAGGAAGAGGGAGTGTCAATTGAAACAATGCCCCCAACAGCTAGGTCTGTAGACAAACCTTCGGTGCATTTTCTTGATTGATGATTGATGTGGGAGGGCCCAGCTCACTGTGGGTGGTGCCAGCGGTCATGGTGGAATAAGAAAGCAGGCTGAGCAAACCAGAGGGAATCAAGCCAGTAAGCAGCACTCCTCCCTGGCCTCTGCACCAGCTCCTGCCCCCAGTTTCCTGCCCTGTTTGAGTTCCTGTCCTGACTTTCTTCAGTCATGTACTAAATGACATAGAAGTGTAATAACCCTCCAACTGCAACTTGCTTTTGGTCATGGTGTTTTATCACAGCAATAGAAGCCCTGACTAAGATTTTCCTAATGTGTACTTTTTAACAGTCAATTGATGATTTAACATTTTAGAATGGTTACATGAGTTAAATGATATACTACTGTTTAATAATACTAAATTTCCTTCTATCTCTCCCCAAATGTTTTTTATTTGTAGACAGCATTTTATTAGTGTCACATGGCTGCCTTTTAAAAACTATGTTTTTTTTTTCACCAGCTATGTATGCCTTTAATCCTAGCCACCAGGAGGCAGAGGATCTCTGAGAGTTGGGGGCCAACCCTGGTCTACATAGTGACCTCTAGGCCTACAAAGGCTACATAGTGAGACTCAGTCTCTAAAATAAGTAAAAATTATAGCATTTTTCATCCTTAGACAATTTCTTCAGTTGACAGTTTTTAACATCCCACAAAGTAATTTTTGGTTAAGGAAAGAAAGAAAGAAAGAAAGAAAGAAAGAAAGAAAGAAAGAAAGAAAGAAAGAAAGAAAGAAACCCATTTGTCTTTTTCTCTACACCAAAACTAGGTTTGTTTGCTTGTTTGTTTATTTATTTAAAATATTTCATTTGGGGGCTAGAGAGATGGTTTAGCAATTAAAAGCACTTGCTACTATTATAGCTGGGTCCAGTTCCCAGCACCCACCTGGTGGCTCACAGCCATCTTCTAACTCTAATTCCAGGTGATCTGATGCCCTCTTGTGGTCTCTCCTGGAACTGCACACACATGGTATGCATACATACATACAGGCAAACAGTCACACTGAAATTAAAGGTGTGGAATTAAAAGAATTGACACCATCAGCCGGCTCCTTTGGGTATTTTATGACACAGGAGCTCTCTATGTCACCTCCCTGATGCGGGGATAAGAAGCAATTATGAACATGCACCATCATACCATGCAGTTATGGTTTCATTTATAAGGCAGGATCTAGTAAGTAGCCCAGGCTAGCTTCAAACATTCTTTCTCCCCAGTTCTTCCAAATGCGAGGAGTGCAGGCATGTGCTCATCATGTGACAAACATTTCCTAGGGAGACACTACATATTTACGTGTTTATCTTAGATAGGGAGGCCATGACAGGTAGCATGAAGTTCAGCTTGGTGAACCAATGAGCTTTAGTGGGGTTTATAGGAATATGATGATAGTAGATCCTTACTTCCGGGAGCAGAAATGACTCACAGACAGCTGCATCACTGACATCTACCCCAGCGTGGGCGACAGCTCACAAAACTGGGAACCTGGAGTGCACAGCCTGCAGGCATCTCAGCAGGTGGGAGAGCATCCTTTTTAGTTGATTCCACTGGTCTGAGCCTCTTCTAGGCAGCTCCACTGGTTTTTGCTTCGTTTGGGCTGTTTGGCTGGTCTCCAGTCTCTTGTGTAGCTTGGCTCCTCTGAGAGTGACCCTCAGCAGTCTTTATTCTGGAGGAGGAATGGGCCTAGTGAATCTGGTCAGCTTTAGGGATTTCCTGGAGTTGTTTTAGATTGTTTAGTTTTTGTGTGAAGAAGCTTCTCTATAGAATGGAATGCTTGATTTGTTTTTAGTTTATTTATTCATTTTACATTCTAACTGAAGTTTCCCCTCCTTCCCCTTCTTCTATTCCCTCTTCCTCCACCAGATTGGTATGTTTTAATCTCAGAAAAAAATAAATAAGCTGCTATATGACAGCATGATTATACCCTACAAAACTCAATTTACTATAAAACTATAGTTCTAAAGAATAATTATTGATTTCTATAGGCCCCTTTAGGCTTGGAGCTGGTGGTCTCAGGGTTTTGGTCTATCTCAGTCTTTCCAGTATTGGTGACGAATGTGTCTGTCCATACACTTTTCTTTCCAGACTGCACCAGAGCTGCTGAGCAATTAAAGAATAACCCACGGCACAAGAGTTACCTGGAGCAGGTGTCCCTGAAGCAGCTGGAGAAGCTCTTCATTTTTTTACGAGGTTACTTGCAGGGGCAGAGCTTGGCAGAAACGATGGAACAAATTCAACGGGAAACAACCATTGACCCCGAGGAAGACCTGAACAAACTCGATGACAAGGAGCTGGCCAAAAGGAAGAGCATCATGGATGAACTTTTTGAGAAAAATCAGAAGAGAAAGGATGACCCTGGTTTTGTGTATGACATTGAAGTTGAGTTCCTGCAGGATGAGCAGCTGTCCTGCAGCTGGGACACAGAGTCAGCTGACGAGTTCTGAGACCTCCTGCTCCGCGTCCACGAAGAACAAAACTCGGTCCCAGAAAATCTGTGAACGCTAACAGACTATAAAACCAAGATACTTGCATGTGTTGCATAGGCCTATGAGAAACACAGCTTAGGAATCTCGTTAGAGATGGCAATCCAAAGGGAAGGTAACTCAGAAACTTGTAAAAAGATATTTTAATAATATTACTCGGGAAAGAGATTAGAGCCTGATTTCCGATGAAGGCTGAAAAGGTGAGAATCTGGATTACTGCGGGTAGAAAGAAGGGAAGACTTCCCTCAGCAGAAAGGGGCCGTGCATGGCCCCCGAAGGCCACAGATGTTTCTAAATGAAGCAAGGGGGGGAACACAGCATAGACATTTTGAGAACGAGTGAATAATTATAGTCCAACAAGATTGGAGTTAACCTGTGTTCATTATGTCTGCGAATTTAACCCTGGGGTAGACAAAAGCACCTGCAAATGCCTCACAGCTGCCGGTGCATGCAACGCAGCAGACGAAGGCAGTTCTGGCCCTCCACACTCAGGAAATGTACCCAGAACCACTTCCTGTGAGAGGCTGGTTTACACGGTGGGAAATCTACCCGCAAGTGAGCAATAGGTTCTGCCTGTTGAAACCTGCCCAGGAATTTAGAGATACAGTGATCTCTGTTTAACAAGGCCACCATATGCAGGTGTGTTTGCTCTTACTAGAATATTCTCTGCAATAGAAAGCATCTGTTTTCTACAAGGAAACTACTATTCACTGAGTAAAGCTGTGCCTGTGAGTCCTGAGTCTTACCAGTTTTTCTTTTCCTTTCCTTCAGTCGTGTTTTGTTTGTCAGGGTTCAGGTAAGTTAGCAGACAAAGCAACATGCTTTGTTATGGCATTTTCACAGCTGCATTCATATCGTGTGTTCCTGCTCCACCCCCACTGTGTGTCCCCTTGTCTTCTTGCTGATCCCCTTCTTCCCAAGTCACCCCCTTTTGCTTTCGTGTCCCGTGTGTGCCATTACCTTCTGCACCCCTTAAGCTCATTCCTCCCCCTTCATAGTGTCCTCTCTAGCCCCACCCATCCTGACATACATCCATACCCATATAAAAAACTAGAGTTTGGCCAGGTGGTGGTGGTGCACCCCTTTAATCCCAGCACATAAGAGACATGTGAATTTCTGTGAATTCGAGACCAGCCTGGTCTAGAGTGAGTTCCAGAACAGCCAGGGCTACAGAGAAACCTGTCTCCAACAACAATAACAAAAACCCTAGATGTTGTATAGGAGAGAAAATGCTGCCTTTGTCTTTCTAAACTTGTTTATTTTATATAACATGATGATTTCCTTTTGTCTCCATTTCCTGTAAATAAAATTACATTGTGTGTATGTATACATTTCCTTTACTAATTTCTTGATGGACATCTAGGCTGGTTGCATTTCCTAGTTGTGAATACAGCAGCAGCAGACGTGGATGTGCGAGTGTGTCTGTAGCTGTTGACTTAGGAACAGCAGACGTGGATGTGCGAGTGTGTCTGTAGTTGAAAAAAAAAAAGCAGAAGTGGATGTGCGAGTGTGTCTGTAGTTGTTGACTTAGGAGCAGACGTGGATGTGCGAGTGTGTCTGTAGTGTTGACTTAGGAACAGCAGACGTGGATGTGTGAGTGTGTCTGTAGTTGTTGACTTAGAGTCCTTTGCGTCTTCCCCTGAGAGTGTGATACCTGGGTCATTTGGTTGTCCCATTTATAGATTTTTTTCTGAGCCTTCATACAAATTTCCGCAGTGGCTGTTCCAGCTTGCATTCCCACCCTCGTGCACAAGGGCTCCTCCTTCCTCTCATTCTCAAGTTGTTCTGACTGGGCCACAAAGCAGTTCAGTGTGTGGTTCTCTAAGGGCCACAGATGGGAACACTTCTCAGTGAGTTACTAGCCATTAGTATTTCCTCTCCTGAGAACTGTTTAGTCAGTTTTTTTTGTTGATGGTATGGTTTGGGGTGGGAGTTTGTGAGTTCTCGATAGAATCTAAGGTCTTTAATAGAAGGTGATAGTTTTTAGGTATATAACGTGTAGTTGGCAAACATTAGCCCATTGTTTTTAGATTTTTTTTGTCATTGTTTGCTTTCTGTTGCTATGATAAAACACTGATCAAAACAATTTGGGGAGGAAAAGGTTTATTTCATCATATAGTTTACAGTCTACCGCAAAGGCAGAAACACTTCTAGCCAGCTTGCTCCTCCTGGCTTGCCCAGCCTGGACCACTTGCCCCGGGGTGACACCACTCATGGTGGGCTGCATACTACCATATTAACCACAATCAAAATAATGCCCCACAGACAGGCCCATAGGCCAATATGATGGATGCGATTTCCCAGTGGACGTCCCCTCCTCCCAGGTGACTCTAGGTTCTGTCAACGTGACAAAAAACAACCAGCACATTTTTTTTAAATATGTGTGTGTGTGTGTGTATATACACAGAGTTTTTTTTTTTTTTTGTCTTGTCAGTCAGCTTTTTCCTGCCACCTGGCTCCCTAATAACAACACAGAGACTTGTTAATTATAAACGCTTAGCCAAAGCCAGACGGTGATCACACACACCTTTAATCCCATCACTAGGGAGGCAGAGACAGGCAGATCTCTGTGAGTTTGAGACCAGCCTGCTCTACAGAACAGGTTACAGGGCAGGCTCCAAAGTTACACAGAGAAAACCCTTTCTTGAAAATCCTAAATAAATAAATAAAATCTTGGTTGATAGCTTAGGCTTATTACTAACTAGCTCTTACAACTTAACCCATATTTCTTACCTACGCTCTATCACATTGTGGTACCCTTTTTCAGCACAGCATGCTCATCTCCTGCTTCCTCTGCATCTGGCTGGCAACTCTGTTCTCCTTCCCAGCATTCTCTTTTTCCCTGTCTGCAAATCCTACCTAGCCTCTTCCTGCCTAGTTATTGGCCATTAGCTCTTTATTAAAACAATGAGAGCAAACCATAGTCATGGTGTACAAAAGGATTATTCCACAGCATACAGTTAGGACAGGTGCTTGAGGATTCCAGAAAAGAGCATCGCATTCCCTAGAGCTAGAGTTATAATGTAGCCACCCATTCCAATGAGCCATCCGATGCAGGTGCTAGAAACCGAACTCTGTAACAGAAGGAGTGGGCTGCTTGTCCTCCTGGCCGCCCAGCTATCTTACACCTGAAATAATCACATAGAAACTGTATTCACTAAATTACTGCTTGGCCCATTATCTCTAGTCTCTTATTGGCTAATTCTTATATCTTGATTTAGCCCATTTCTCATAATCTGTATGTCACCACGAGGTCATGACTTACCAGGATGTATTCAGCATGTCTGACATGGCAGCTCCATGACGGCTCTCTCACTCTGCTTTCTTCCTCCCAAAATTCAGTTCTGTCCTCCCTGCCTACCTAAGATCTGCCCTATCAAAAGGCCAAGGCAGTTTCTTTATTCAACCAATGAAAGCAACACATAGACAGAAGACCTCCTACACCAGAACTCTGGGCCTCTGCAAGAGCAGTATATGTTCTCACTCCTTACTCCCATCACGTAGATTATCTCTGTATTGCTGATTGTCTCCTTTTCTGTACAGAACCTTTGTCAAGTTTAGGGTTATTTACTATGCCTGTGCTGGGATTAAAGGAGTCTTTTCCACAAAGTCCTTGCCTTACACCTAACTTTAAAGTCTTTTCCTTCAGCACTGTCGGAATTTTAGGTCTTACATTAAGGTCTTTGATCCATTTGGAGCTGGTTAAATTTTTGGAATTTATTTTTATGTAGACTACAAGATACGAGTCTGGTTCATTTTCTCTATGTGGGCATACGGTTTTCCAAGCACCATTTGTTGAAGAGGCTTTCTTTTTGTTCTCATGTGTGTTATAAGTACCTTTGTTGAAAACTAGATGGCTGTACTTACGTGGAACCGCTATTCTCTTGTGCCGGCTGACATTCTTGTTTGGGTGCTAGTCTCATGCGGATTTTGTTACTATGGCTCTGTTGTGTAGTTTGAGAACAGAAATGAAGTATTCACCATTGTTCTTTCTTTTTAGGATTGCTTTGGCTCCTCAAAGTCTTTTTCTTTTTCTTTTTTCTTTTATTTATTTATTTTTTTTTGAGACAGGGTTTCTCTGTAGCTTTGGAACCTGTTCTGGAACTAGCTCTTAGTTCCAGAGGTTAGACCAGGCTGACCTCGAACTCACAGAGATCTGCCTGCCTCTGCCTCCTGAGTGCTGGGATTAAAGGCGTGCGCCACCATCGCCTGTCCTCAAGGTCTTTTATGCTGTCATATGAATTTTAGTAGTTTTTTCCTAAATCAGTAAAGAATGTCACTGGAATTTTGATAAGGACCACATTAAATATCAAAACCATTGCACAAAGCCAGCCTTATCCTGACACCAAAGCTGGATAAGGACACAACAACAAAACCACACACCATGGGGCTGGAGAGATGGCTCCGAGGTTAAGAGCACTGGTTGCTCTTCCCCAAGTCCTGAGTTAATTCCCAGTAACCACATGGTGGTTTACAACCATCTGCGATGAGATCTGGTGCCCTCTTCTGGCCTGCAGACACACATGCAGGCAGAACACTGTATATATAATATATAAATAAATCTTTTAAACAAAAAACAAATCACAGACCAATTTCCATGAACATACATGTAGAAATTTTAAATAAAATACCTCAAAACTCATTAAGAAAGACCAGCTACCATAACCAACTTGACTTCATCCCAGGATGTGTAGAAAATGAGGTAACAAGCCTTGAGCCTCATGCAAACACAGATAGAAATATGGGTTAAATTTAAATGTAAGAGCTAGTAATAAACCTGAGCTACTGCTTGAGCATTAATAATTAATATAAGCCTCTGAGTGATTATTTGGAAGTGGCTACAGGGCAGGGTGGGACAGAGAAACCTCCATTTACATTAGGCGAGGCAATAAAAATGAAATCTTTATATAATCCTCAAGTTAATTTTATCCCAAACCCCTGATCTCTTTCCCCCATTTCCTCTTTTCCCATCACTCCTCACAATTCCACCACACCCTAAAAGTGGGGTCACCAGCTAGTAACAAGAGGAAATGTATCGACTTATAGTGATTGTCCACATTTCAATTTTATGAATGAGGCAAGAGGTAAGGCCATGTGTCTTCTCTAAGCATTTCTTAGAAGTTCCATTTGGGATTTTTTTATTGTGAGGTTCAGACTGAACCCAGCACTCTACCACTGACCTAAACCCAAACCCTAGTCTTCTATGACATAACTGCTTAACTTTGCTGTTTACATTTTTTTAGAGCCCAGGTATTGTGCATTTTTATGTTAACTTGAAGATCTCTGTCCAATAAAGAAGATAGCCATAGAGAATATGGCTTATTTTCCTATTGCCATTAGCCAGTCTATGTCTAACCCAAAAAGCATTTTAACATCTTCTGTAAATGCCTGTAAATTCTCAGTTCTTCAAGATCATCTGAATCAATAAGAAGAAGGGAAAGGCCACATAAGCTGGAAGAGAAAATGGTGGAGGGAAAGGGGAAGAATTAAACGGGGAGGAATAGAGAGTGATTTGACCCAAACACAAAGACACACACATGGGATATTTAAAGTACGTAAGCCAGACTTGCCTGTTATACTAGTCATTAATTAATACATTTTTTTTTTCTGAGACAGGGTTTCTCTGTGTAACAGCTCTGGCTGTCCTAGAACTCACTTTGTAGACCAAGCTGGCCTCAAACTCACAGAGATCCGCCTGCCTCTGCCTCCTAAGTGCTGGGATTAAAAGCACATGCCATTACCACCTGGCCCAAGTTAATACATGTTAATACATCTTAGTATGTATTCATTTTATATTTACATGAGTTCTTTATTTTTCAGTTGCATTTGTATGTGTGTGTATGTGTGTGTGTATGTATGCACATGCAAGCACAAACATGCTTGTGTAGAAAAGTCAGAGGACAACTTGTAGGAATCTTTTCTCATCGCTATGTGAGTCTTGGATCATTAGACTCAGTGGCAGGCCCCTTCTCTCACTAACCCATCTCACCGCCCTCCTCTCACACACAATGGTCTAATTGTGTTGTCAGACAGGTCTGGAACTGCTGGGCTTAAACAGCCCCTCTTTAGTCTTCCAAGGATCTGGGATCACAGGTATGCATTATCATAGTCAACCTGAGTTTTATCCTTGTTCTTTTGTGACACAGTCTCACATAACCCAGGCTGGCCTTAAACTTACTCTGTAGTCAAGGCTGGTCTTGAACTCCTAATCCTTTTACCTCCACTTCCTGAATACTGGGATTACAGGTGTGTACCACCATACCCAGCTTGAGTTTCTCTCACGTGTGGAGATCAGAGGACAGCTGATGGCAGTCCGTTCTCTCCTG